GTACTGGCAAAAGCTCAGACAAGCATGCTGTATTATCCATCCATTGTCTACCAACTTCATCCAGTTTAGGATGGCTGGGGAGCTGGAACGTATCCCCGTGAGCAAATGAAGAAAGGCAGGATACACCCAGGATGGGATTCCAGTCCATCACGGGGCACACACACACACGGGCACACACACACACGGGCACACACACACACACACACACACACACACACACACACACACCCACCAGGGTCAATCAACCTACCACTTTGTCTTTGAACTGTGGGTAGAAACCGGAGCTCCCACCTAAAACTCAGACAAACGCGTGGAGAGCATACAAACCCCACACAGATCGAACCCCAGGTCCATAATTGAACCCAGGGTTCCAGCACTGTGAGGCAGCAGTGCTAAACACTGCTCCACTGTGCTGCCCCGTGCTGTATTATTTAAATACCAAATCTAGTAGGTAGATTAGCAGCTATCACATTTGACTAACAGAAATGTTTCTGGAAGCATTTAAAGTAGTAAAATGTATTTTTCTTTTAGCTTGGGAGATTTGTTTCTTTGCTTTCCTACCATGAAACCTGTAATATTACAGTGACCTTTAATTAAAATGGTAACCAATCTGATAGTACTGGGTGAGAACTTGCAAGCAAATTGTTGAGGAAAAAAAAACTGATTCTTGTGAAAGAGGCTTGGTTTTAAATTAACTTCCTAGGAAATATGAAATGTCTGCCAATAATTGATAGGTCACTGCAGGTGGTAATTAAACACAACGCTGAAAACAGGTGGACTGTTCTGTGTTCCCTTGTTTTGGAATCACTGAAGCAGCTCAGCAAGTTAATATTGCTGATTATTTACCTATGAAGTGGCACAATGCAGAATTTTTGGGAGAACATACTGTATGTACTGTAACCTGTTATGTGAGGCACAATTCATTCACAATTTCATTAGACAGATTATTGTAGGTGATGGTTCTGAACTGGAAAAGCACGACTGATTCTAGTGGTAATGGACAAAACTGGTCACATTCAGCTAATGCGGTGTCCTTGGGCCTCTTCTGTCATTGTGTTCCCCATAATCTCCAAGTATGTGAGCCAAATTGTATTACTCCAGAGTCTTCCACATACAACTGATAGTAGTGGCAAAATAACTTAGATAGATACTATCTATTGAGTATATATTTTCATAAGCTCCTTTAAAATGTTTTTTCTTGCTCTTGGCAAAAACTCCTGCTGGTGGCACTGAATGCAAGTATATGAAGTTTAGGCCATGCTTAAATTGTGCTCTTTTCTCAGACAAAATAACACAAGGATGGAAGCTTAATTGTTATTTAGGGCACTTAGTAGGTGATTTCTTTCAGATTGAGCTGAGAGGAGCGGTTTTATAACATGGAAGGAGAAACCCACTTGTAACACACCTTAGCAGTATACGCCGTGTGTGGCCAAGATAAATGGTTTTAGTTTCTAATGTTATTGATCTTCACCTTCTGGCACTAAATTCACACACATCCAAAAAAAATAATAAAGACATTCCTTAAAGTAATATGTTTTTGAAGATCTGATGCAGGACTTTTTTTAAAAGCTGTTTTAAAAAAGAAAAATGAGGTCCCCTGTTGGCAGATCAGACATTTATTATAAAACCATTTATGTGCCCTTTCACATAACTTGAGAAGTGTGTATTGGTTTGGCACATTGACACCAGTTTCAATTAGTTAGTTTTCCTTCTCATTGTAGAGCCTTCAGCGCTCAAAGGTTAAGGAAAGGACACTATGTTCTGGTTTAGTATTTTCAGTTTATAAAGGAGTGTCTTGGTCTCTCGGATAAATTCTCTTCAAAGGAAACCTTTGAAATAAGCAGGGATTTTTCCAAAACGGAAACAGAAAAATGCCCATGTTATACTCCTTCTGCTCTATATGGTCCATCTCTAGGTTTGTTTTATTAATATTGTTTTTGTTACACATTATATCATAATATAATTAAGGGTAAAGTCTATACCAGAGCCACAGTGGCTCTTTGGGCTCATCCTGGTTTCTTTAATGTTAAAAGAACACACTGGAACACCCCTACTATCACAGGGATTACTTCCCAGCAATTCTGGTCTCCACTTATACAGCAGAACAGACAGGAGCAACTGGGGTACAGTACCTCACTCGAGGTACAACAGCAGTGTCTGCAGCAGGGACTTGAACCCATGCCTTGTCAGTCGTGTCGTAAGTCCAAAGGCTTACCCACTACACAACGGTCCTTGCAATGCGTAAAAAGCCCTGTAGCACAAAATAAAGAAAACCAGGAATAGAAATCAAGGGAGCCATGAAATCGGAAAGCCATGAAAAGTAAAAAATGGAAGACAATCACAAGAAGATGCGAAAAAAGAAAGTTAGCCTTCCTGTCAGTTTTTGAGCTAGCCACTTGTAATCATCTAGCAGGAGTTCATTCCATACCAAGATCTACAAATGCATGCAGTTAAGTGTAATTTAAGGGTGTTTCAGTCAACACCCAATCTAAGAGATCAATTGGGAATTGTTACGGAGAAGGAACCAGTAAAGTGCACAGTAACACCAGTCACCTCCGAAAGATCAAACACGCAAAGCGCCCTATCACAGGCCACCCCCGACATGTATAGGCTGGTACGATACACCCCGGGTGCTTCTGCAGGATAACATAAGATCACTTTATTAGCCATATACAATTTCTTGCATTAGGAATTTTACTTTTCGCATCCCCCAGCTTGCTCTCCATGAGACACACAGGCACACAGAGGGGGAAAGAGAAGCTTGGGGACAGAGAGCAGTTGGGGTTAAGGGCCTTGCTCAGGGGCCCAGCGGAGTAGGATTTGAACCGGCAACTTTCCATCCACAGGCGCAGATCCTTAGCCACAGAGCCACCTCTCCGCATCAGAGCATCTAGACCTGCTGATATACCTGTTATTTACATTCTTTATTCACATTCAAAACAGATTAATTGTTGCCGTAGGTTTTTTAGTGGAAGAGAACTTGCTGTTCCAGACTGCACGTCAGTCCGGACTTGCATCCAGCCCATCTACTGTAGTTCCCATATAGAAAAAACTGGGAGACGGCTGTTCATAGAGCATAAAAGAAGGTCACGAAGAGACTAAGGGCTGTGCAGCAACTGTTAAAACTGTTAGATCAGCGGCAGTTTGAGAGAGTAAACCTGTGTGCAACCTTGTCAGTCTGCGCAGATCCAAATCAAGGGAGGGGGTATATCAGCCTCAGATCCTGAAACATGTGCAAGCTGTTGTCATCACAGATGTCACTGGAATATGAACATGTCCTGTAGATCAGGGTGGTGAGGTCAAGGGTTGAGAACCTGACAGGAGGATGAAGCAATTTCAAAGAAGGGAGAGCTGATGAAAATTCAGGAGGGTGCTGAGAAAGCCATGGCCAGGCCAATACAAATGAAGACAGTTCTGATCAGGGCAGCAGAAGCTAAACATTCTTGCAGTTGAATTGCATTAATTAAAGCTTACTGAATTGTATACTCTGACATCAATGTCAGCTAAGTCCTAAACACCGTCAAAACTGAGTCCCTCAAAGCCACATCATAGCATTAAAAAAATTGCTAATCTACCAATAGCATTGTAAAGATACTGCGGTTGAAACGTACGACGGAATTCATTTGTCTTAAGTGTTTTTTGGGGAGTGAAATGAGGCTTATAAAAAATCAGAAATTGATGTATAGAAGAAATTCTGCTATTAGTGATGGAGGTCCTAACATGTGATGTAGTCTGTTAAAGAAAACCAAAGTCAGAACTACTTTAATTTTATCCCCAACCTCAGATGTATTCTCTTTCCAAATCTGATGAAAATGAAGGGACAAGGTAGGTAATTCTTCAGTAAACTGATGTCATTGTAGATTATCCTCAAACCTGCTGAATGAACATGTCCCTCTCCATTGCTTTGCCTTTAATTGCTAATTGCAGGGCACAGAATTGATCTGCAAAATGTTCTGACAATATCAATCAGCAGTACCCCTTAAAGCTGCAGTCTGATTCCAATCCCTTTTGCAAGGTGATTGCAAAACCAATCAAAACTAACCAGTCATTTGACAGTGGAGTATTGGCATTATACCTGTACATGCATTGACTAATTCATTCCCATTTTAAGAGAGGCAGATTTTTTTAAAACCCAGTTTGATTCTCTTACAGCACCATTAGATGAGGTCATTGTATTGTTTCAGGATCTTGAATGCATTGTGTACTGTTTTCCTTCAAATTTAGGATGCACTTTTTATGCCATCCCTTTTTTGTAAAAAATCTTCTTAATCTTAATTTTGTTTACATTATTAATTTCAAACATTTATAGTGTACGTAGAATGCATGTCTTAAAATACCATCAGATGTCAAAGTTTGCTGATCATGAATGAAATAAAGATGAATTTGGAGTCTGCTATTCCTATTCACATACAGTACATTGTTTTAACAGCTTCTAAGCAAGAAGGACCAGGTTACAGAATTTGCAGAAACAAATGCAATCAGAGCTGTGGTAAGGTAGAATGGTGTCACTTAATCTTGTTTGAGGAAATTGCCAAATACTAAATCCAAGCTCAGTGTGAAAAATTAAAAAAATATATTTCTGTTATAACTGTCATGTATATTGTAACACTTAAAAAATATTGTTCTTCTAATAATTTACATTAATGCTGATTGCAATCTTAAGCTTTCCGTTAAAAACACTGAGGTACCAGTTTTATCTACTGCTTTTCAGCAAATGAATAATACTTTATTATTTTTATTAATATAACTGTTACTTTATTATGTAGA